TTAGGGACCTTAGATTGTACACCCCTTGAGGGTTAGGGACTGATGTGAATGTACAATATATATGTAAAGCGCTGTGTAAAGTGACGGCGCTATATAAGTACCTGTAAATAAATAAACCCTTTAGATACAATGTAATGTTAAAATGTAGATATGTGTAACAAATAGTCGCTGATCAGATGTCAACTTTTTGCCAGAAAAGAAAGCAAATTGACCAATACATTTGCTTTAAAGCGAGTTCCACCCAAAAAGGGACGTTGCTTTAAAGACTGGTCCCCAAATCCCCATTAACCATTGGCACTTTTGGGGAGAAGGTACCCAAAATTGACAGGTACCCTCTCCCACTTCCGCTGCGATCGCCTAGGCCAGGAGTATGGCAACCTGTGGTTCTCTAGCTGTTGTAGAACTAATTTCCCATGAGGCATTGCAAAGATTACAAAACTGACAGTTACAGTTATGACTTGCAGAGGCATGATGGAACTTATAGTCCTGCGGCTCTGAGGTTGCCTACCCCTGGCCTAGGCGATCGGAAGCAGAAATTGTTTGTCCTACCCTCCCCATTGTCTTCTGGGACACGTGACAGGTCCCAGAAGACTACGGGGCCATTCAGGAACACTCGCACATGTGCAGTGGGCACCCGGCTTAAGCCACAAGCTGTCACAGCCGGGTGCCCACACTGAAGATGCCGGCGCCTAGAACACCAGACGGGTGGTGAAACGGGCTGCGGGGAGGACACTGCGGGATCGTGGGACAGGTAAGTGGCTGTTTTTTAACCACCTCCCGCCTGCCATATAGTCCAATGATGGGCGCAAGGTGGTTCTCTCGTTCTGATAGGACGTCATATGACATCCTGCCATTCTCACCGCGCATGCGCGGCGATTAGCGTTGCTCTGAGTCCCTCGGACACAGGGGATCACCGATCATGAAAACAGCCGAAGATGTCGGCTGGTCATGTGATTAGCTGTGTCCAATCACAGCTGATCACATGTAAACAGCTGACAGCTCGTGAGGAGAGGAGAGCCGGTAATCGACTTTCCGCGGAGGGGACAGGTACACTGATCATCGGGGCACTGATGATCAGTGTGCCCTGATGATCAGTGTGGCCCCAGAAGTGCCATGTGCCAGTGCCCATCAGTGCCACAATGCCACATATCAGTCCATACCAGTGCACATCAATGCCACAAATCAGTGCCCATCTGAGCTGCCCTTCAGTGTCACCCATGAGTGCCACCTATCAGTGCCGCCTAACAGTGCCAGTCTGTGCAGCCTATCAGTGATATACTGTATATTAGTGCTGCCTTTCAGTGCTCATCAGTGATGCCTGTCAATGCCCATCATTGCCACCTACCTGTGCCTCCTCATCAGTGCCCATCAGTGCCACCTATCAGTGTCCATCAGTGCATCTTATCAGTGCCCATCACTGCATCCTCATTAGCGCACATCAGTGTAAGGAGAAAAATCACTTATTTACAAAATTTTATAAACAAAATCTAAGAAAAAACTTTTTTTTTTCCCCAAAATTTTCAGTGGTTTTTGGTTTAAGAAAAAACAAAAAAAAACCCAGAGGTGATTAAATACCACCAAAATAAAGCTCTGTCACAAAAAAATGATAAAAATTTCATATGGGTACAGTGTTGCATGACCGCGCAATTGTCATTCAAAGTGTGACAGCGCTGAGAGCTGGAAATTGGCCTGGGCAGGAAGGGGGTATAAGTGCCCTGTAGGCTTGTGGTTAAAAGTCAGCAGCTACAGTTTTGGTACTTTTTCATAGTGCAACTGGAACTCCACTTTAAGTTACATGATATCCCTGCTCTTTGCCTTCAGTTATGTAAGGAGAATGATTACATTTTAGCTAACTGTCTCACGGTTCTATTACACAGCTTGTCTATATTACGTGACATCCCAGAGGTGAGCCGCAGGGAACAGGCAGAGCTGAGACGCAGGACCCTCCTCCTCCTCTATTACTTGCTGCGGTCACCATTCTACAACCGATACACAGAGTGAGTTACCATCACAGCTATACAGTAATGTATAGAGAGCCATACACATACATTCATTCTGATTTTAATGTCTTTTAGATTGAGGGTGGGGGGGTGTATTTTTCAGCTTAAAGCCAAACTCAATGCAGATATAAAAGTTACAAATGAATGCAGCATTTATTTATCAACCTGTTACCTCCCACCACATACAAAAGGGTGGTCTTTAATGCCCACATGCTGTACATATGTGTCACTGGTCAGCCGATCTTTCTGTGCCGAGCGTGCGCTCACTGCATGCTCCAAGAACAGAGATCGTGCTGTCAAAGACTGAGACCAGCTTCCAGTCGTGAGACCAATCGCACTTCTCTGTCTGGCAATCCGATGGACGTGTCTGGGTTTGGCGGTTGCCAGGAAAACTGTACTCCCCTGACTGCATCCTGCCAGTTGTAAAGTTTGGTGGAGGGGGGATTATGGTGTGGGGTTGTTTTTTCAGGGGTTGGGCTTGGCCCCCTAGTTCCAGTGAAGGGAAGTCTTAGGGTTTCAGCATATCAAAACATTTTGGAAAATTTCATTCTCAGAGAACACTTCTCCACTGCTCTAGAGTCCAGTGGTGGCGTACTTTACACCACTGCATCCGACGCTTTGCATTGCACTTGGTGATGTAAGGTTTGGATGCAGCTGCTCGGCCATGGAAACCCATTCCATGAAGCTCTCTACGCACTGTTGTTGTGCTAATCTGAAGGCCACATGAAGTTTGGAGGTCTTTAGCTATTGACTCTGCAGACAGTTGGTGACTTCTGCGCACTGTGCGCTTCAACATGTACTGACCCCGCTCTGTCATTTTACCTGGCCTACCACTTTGTGGCTGAGTTGCTGTTGTTCCCAGTTGCTTCCACTTTGTTATAATACCACTAACAGTTGGCTGTGGAATATTTAGTAGCCAGGAAATGTCACGGATGGACTCATTGCACAGGTGACAACCTATCACGGTACCACGCTTGGAGTCACTGAGCTCCTGAGAGCGACCCATTCTTTCACAAATGTTTGTAGAAGCAGTCTGCATGCCTACGGGTTTGATGTTATACACTGTGGCCATGGAGGGGACTGGAACACCTGAATCACATGATTTAGAGGGGGGGCCCAATACTTTTGGCAATATAGTGTATATGTGATCCAATGCAGCGGGGCTGCCCTGCCGCAGTAGAACTGTGGTAGGAGGTCAAGAAGTGGATAAAGGGATGCTGGAGCAGGCAAGAAGGGGTTAATATATGAATATATATGTGTTATTAAATGCAAGCAGTGTAAGTACCCGAGTTTGACTCAGTATTGGCCTCTTGCAGTCTTTCTACAGCAGATTTCAGATTGAGAAGGAGTGTCACAGGTACCTAATCCATTTGTGAGCTGACAAGGGACATGCTGATAGGATGAGAGAGCAGAGTGATATGGAGAGAAGCTCATCAGTCTGCTGCTTCTCCTTTCACTGCCATTCTCTGGCTGGGAGAAGTTGAACTTTAATGATGATCTGCAGAAATTGGATTTTTCATACATATACAGTGGGGCAAAAAAGTATTTAGTCAGCCACCAAATTGTGCAAGTTCTCCCACTTAAAAAGATGAGAGAGGCCTGTAATTGGCAGCATAGGTAGACCTCAACTATGAGAGACAAAATGAGAAAAAAAATCCAGACAATCACATTGGCTGATTTGGAAAGAATTTATTTGCAAATTATGGTGGAAAATAAGTATTTGGTCACCTACAAACAAGCAAGATTTCTGGCCCTCACAGACCTGTACCTTCTTCTTTAAGAGGCTCCTCTGTCCTGCACTCATTACCTGTATCAATGGCACCTGTTTGAACTTATCAGTATAAAAGACACCTGTCCACAACCTCAAACAGTCACACTCCAAACTCCACTATGGTGAAGACCAAAGAGCTGTCGAAGGACACCAGAAACAAAATTGTAGACCTGCACCAGGCTGGGAAGACTGAATCTGCAATAGGCAAGCAGCTTGGTGTGAACAAATCAACTGTGGGAGCAATAATTAGAAAATGGAAGACATACAAGACCACTGATAATCTCCCTCGATCTGGGGCTCCACGCAAGATCTCACCCCGTGGGGTCAAAATGATCACAAGAACGGTGAGCAAAAATCCCAGGACCACACGGGGGGACCTAGTGAATGACCTGCAGAGAGCTGGGACCAACATAACAAAGGCTACCATCAGTAACACACTATGCCGCCAGGGACTCAGATCCTGCAGTGCCAGATGTGTCCCCCTGCTTAAGCCAGTACATGTCCGGGCCCGTCTGAAGTTTGCTAGAGAGCATTTGGATGATCCAGAAGAGGATTGGGAGAATGTCATATGGTCAGATGAATCCAAAAGAGAACTGTTTGGTAGAAACACAACTCGTCGTGTTTGGAGGAAAGAGAATGCTGAGTTGCATTCAAAGAACACCATACCTACTGTGAAGCATGGGGGTGGCAACATTATGCTTTGGGGCTGTTTCTCCGCAAAGGGACCAGGACGACTGATCCATGTACAGGACAGAATGAATGGGGCCATGTATCGTGAGATTTTGAGTGCAAACCTCCTTCTATCAGCAAGGGCATTGAAGATGAAATGTGGCTGGGTCTTCCAACATGACAATGATCCCAAACATACAACGAAGGAGTGGCTTTGTAAGAAGCATTTCAAGGTCCTGGAGTGGCCTGGCCAGTCTCCAGATCTCAACCCCATAGAAAACCTTTGGAGGGAGTTGAAAGTCCGTGTTGCCCAACGACAGCCCCAAAACATCACTGCTCTAGAGGAGATCTGCATGGAGGAATGGACCAACATACCAGCAACAGTGTGTGCCAACCTTGTGAAGACTTACAGGAAACGTTTGACCTCTGTCATTGCCAACAAAGGATATATAACAAAGTATTGAGATGAACTTTTGATATTGACCAAATACTTATTTTCCACCATAATTTGCAAATAAATTCTTTCCAAATCAGCCAATGTGATTGTCTGGATTATTTTTCTCATTTTGTCTCTCATAGTTGAGGTCTACTTATGATGCCAATTACAGGCCTCTCTCATCTTTTTAAGTGGGAGAACTTGCACAATTGGTGGCTGACTAAATACTTTTTTGCCTCACTGTATAGTTATTTTTCTAAAATAACAGCTGGAATCAAATTGATTCGGCTATCCCCAGCACTTCCTGTACAAAGACTTATCAGCATTGCAAACAGTATTAACGTGGACCTACACTCAAATCGTAACATAAAGCTGGGATGGAGGAGTTACAGGGGTGAAATACCTCTCCTGGAGAAAATGCTGCTCCTTGTTCCCATCTGTGCTACTGACATTATCCAGCGATCTACAGTGAAGGAAACAAGTATTTGATCCCCTGCTGTTTTTGAATGTTTGCCCACTCACGAAGACATGATCGGTCAAAAACTCGAATGGTAGGTGTATTGTAACACTGATGAGAGAGAGAATAGCAACAAAAAATTCAAAAGAAATGCATGTCTAACAAATGATGCACTGATTTGCATGTTCATGAGGGAAATAAGTATTTGATCCCCTTCACAAAACATGACTTAGTACTTGGTGGCCAATCCCTTGTTGGCAATCACAGAGGTCAGACGTTTCCTGTAGTTGGCCCCCAGGTTTGCACACATCTCAGGAGGGATTTTGGCCCACTCCTCTTGGCAGATCCTCTCCAAGTCATTAAGGTTTGGTGGCTGACGTTTGGCAACTCGAACTTTCAGCTCCCTCCACAGATTTTCAATCGGATTAAGGTCTGGAGACTGGCTAGGCCACTCCAGGACCTTAATGTGCTTCTTCTTGAGCCACTCCTTTGTTGCCTTGGCCGTGCATTTTGGGTCATTGTCATGCTGGAACACCCATCCACAACCCATTTTCAATGCCCTGGCTGAGGGAAGAAGGTTCTCACCCAAGATTCGACGATACATTGCCCCGTCCATCTCCCTTTGATGCAGTGCAGTTGTCCTGTCCCCTTAACAGAAAAACACCCCCAAAGAAGAATGTTTCCACCACCAGGGGATGATCAGCCAATCTAAACTCTGATCTGAAAGCCAAGGTATTTTTTAATGTAAGCCACACAAAAGGGAACATGGAGCAGCAGCACTTTCTCCAGGTAATTATTTCAGCCCTTCTATGTCTCTTTATTTGTCCGTTCTAATTAACATACAGGGGCGGACTGACCATTTGGAAACTCGGGCACCGCCCGAGGGCCCGAGGTCAGTAGGGGGCCCCATGAGATGCTCCTGGTACCTTTTTCATAGGCATTTTTGGGTTTGAGCAAGGACACAGGGGCCCCATGATCCTTATTGCCCGGGGGCCCCATGAGTTGTCAGTCCGCCCCTGTTAACATACCCTTTATATTACCTTTTTTTCATTACGAGTCCACATAAAATCTATTGTATCTGCTTTCATATTGTCCGTGAATAAGATGTCATATAAATCGGTGAGTCAAGCTTTGGTAAAGTCGAAGCCTCCTCTGTATCATCTGTGCATTTATCTATTAAATGCCACAAGAGGAAACCTGGAGGCTTGTGCTTCTACACATCATTGTCAGTAGAGGGCAGTGTTCCATGTAACATAATGATAGAATAGTAGCTCTAAAAACCTAATCACTAATATCCCATAAAAGCTGCAACATTGTAAAAACGTAACGTTGTTGTTATCAATCCTTTTTAATCTGCAGCTTTCATTAAATGAATAATCAGCGATCTTGCTATAATGAAGGCTCTTGTTCAGGCAGCTCCTATTGTAAGGTGACAACTGTCTCCCAGTTGTGCTCCTGTGTTGTCACCCTGTCACAAGCGGTTGCACTGACACACAAAGCGCAGGCACGATCCACCATTGTCACTCAAAGGCATCTGAGCCAGAGGAATGATAAAGATCCACTGATTTGGTTGGTACACACAGGCAAGAGTTGGCTGAAAGAGGCTGGATCTTCACACCCAGGTGGGAAGGACTACCCAGTCACTTGATCACTATGATTGGCTTTCACAGTGAGCACATGATTGGGAGCCGATCCGCCAGACCTCAATCATTACTAGCGACCAGGAGCTCTCCATGACAGCTTGGTCACTGTGCTGGGAGCACACATTGAATGCTCTCTCAGCACAGAAACCTCAGCCATCCACAGAGGTATACGTGCGGTGCATTGGCATTATAGCCTACCATCTTTGCCACTGCACATATGTATGGTAAAAAGAGAAAACGAGGTCATCTAGTGACGGTATAGATTTTATTTGATGTTCCATGCTCTGTGCATTCTGACATATATTTTTGATTCTTGGACAGAATTCGGTTGCTCCTCCTCCTGCGCCTTCTGGGGGATTACGTCCCAGGACTCGGGTTGGTGGCACGTAAGTAATGAAACACTTGATTTTTAAACCAATATTTGTAATATTCCAGCCCTGTAACCCCTTATTTGTTTCTCTCCAGGTCCCCTCATGGATTATCTACCTGTCTGGCAGAAGATTTATTTCTATAACTGGGGCTGAGGGTGTCCTGCCCTGGTACGCTATTGGCAGCTGGGCTATTCGTGTGAAATTCACACAAGTAGGACTGAGCATGGATCATCCCAAGTACAACATTACTTGTCACCTGATCAGTTCTGATCACATGGGACTAAATAGCCGAATGGTCCTACACTGAACTGTGACTTTAACTTGAAAGCAAAACTGTGACCCTGCCCTGTCACATGACCAGAACCTTACCTGCTTACCTCCTTTTCTACTGTATATGATTGTCACTGGATCATGTGACTCTAGAACAGCCTTTCTCAACCTTTCACCCCAGAGGAACCCCTTCAATAATTTTCAGGTCTTGGGGGAACCCTTAATAAAACCCATACATGGGAAAATGCCCCTTACATTGGTGGTCAATAGGAAGAATGTCTGCTTACATTGATGGCCAGTGAAAGGAATGTTCCGTACATAAGTGGCCAGTGGGAAGAATGTCTCCTTACATTTGTGACCAGTGGGAGGAATGCTCCTTGCTGCTTACACTGGTTGTCAGTGGAAGAATGGTCCCTACATTGGTGGTCAATGGGAAGAATGCGCCTTACATTGGTGATCACTGTGAAGAACGTTCCTATCATTGGTGGTCAAGTGGAGGAAGGCCCCTTTAAATTGGTGGTCAACGAGAAGAATGCATCTTATATTGGTGGTCATTGGGAAGAATAGCCCTTACATTGGTGGTCAATGGAAGGAATGCACCTTACATTTTTGATCAGTGGGAAGAATATCCCCTTGAAGGAAGCTAAACAGATGATTGGTGTGGAGTATCCGGCTTTGTTAAGTAGTACTGGAACTATACAAACACCATCAGATGGGAGCCACAGCTTAAGGAACCCCCAGCAACCTCAGAAAGAACCTAGGGTTCCACGGAATTCTGGTTGAGAATGGCTAATCTAGAAAGACATGGAGTGACAACAATAATATTGGACCCAAATTAAACATTTTGTATATATGGGACCTATGGATTTTTTTTTTTTTTTTTGTTATAAGACACGGAAAGAAATATATAGATTTCCATTGCTTTCTTGTTTTAAAGGAAATCTTTAATATGAAGGCAACCATTCCAGACTTCTTACCATTCTACAAACACTGGTTCTCCAGCTGTCAATGATCCTCCAGCTGTCAATGAACAAAGCCCGGTCAATGAGTCAGTGACCCAGAACAAGGATGTAGAGAAGGACTTCTGACCTTCCTCTGACTTACCCATACTTGTCCTAGATCAGAGACTCAGAAAGTACTCCATTCAAGGGTTAACAGACGAACCAATGCAATCAGCATTTTCAGAAGTTGGTCAGCAATGGCAGCCTCCATCTTTCTGCGTGGAAAGGTTTACTTTAATCCCTCAGGTTGTTCATCTATATAAAAAAAAAAAAAACTTACAATTTAAAGTCAAACCCTCTGACCTGTTACTTGTCCCTGGTCAGTGACTGAGAAGTATTGAAGTCATTGGATGAGAATGACAACCAGGCAGCTTTCATTTTCAGAATAAGTGGTCAGTAAGAGTAGCCCTGTGTATCTCCTGGTGTTGAAAACCATTTATTCAGAGCTGCACATCACCCTCCAGGGCATGCTCCATCCACAGCTAACGCGCTTTGCCAATTTCTGGGGCTTAATCACAATTGCTGTACAGTAAGGCCCCAGCAGAGGGGATGAAATGCATTAGGGACAGCTGGGTTGAGTGTTTGTGCCTATGCTGGAAAAATAAAGTTGTCTTTAACCTCATGGGAATGGTTCACAGCTCTTCATAGGCTGCAGTGCAAAGGCTTGGCCACTGGAGGGGTGTGCACCTATGGGCTGGAGAGGAAGACCGCAATGTGGACTGCAAGCAATGTGGGCCATGGGGGGGGGGGGGGGGGGTGTGCAGGGAGCCTTCCCAGCCGGGACAACAAAATGATTACTAACAGAATATAAAGGTGATTCAGCGAGCGCTAAGATGATGAGAACATAAGCTGCTGATACACTACAAGGAAACCATATAACCTCTTAAATATATACAATATGAAAAAGTGCAGCCTCAGGGTGGTCACCATATGGTCCTGGGGGTTAAATGCTCAATGTGGAGCAGAGAATAGTGGCCATAGTGTAGTAGGTTAAAATATAAATTCTTTTATTAGTGGTTAAAAGTGATGAACATACATAAAAGCAAATGGAGGCTATCGCCAAGGAAATGTAGACAAAGCATGCAGCAAAACCGTTCATAAACCATTTAGAAAAACTGACCAGCTGGATAGTTATGGGGGGCCACCGGACCTCCTTGATCCGGTGGCGTGACGTCTCAAGCGTGTATGGCTCCTCCTTAAGGAGCATTTAACCCCCCAGGACCATATGGTGACCACCCTGAGGCCCAGAGGAGAGTGACTCATATAAGCTGACCCCCATCGCAGCTTCCACCAGTAGAGAAGATCTCTCGAGGCGCCAGTATTGTGGGACAGCCTGTCCAGTGTGAACTGCACCTTCCACAGGATAAGAGGGGACCTCTGGCTATTAATATTGCGCTTACCTAATGTGCATTTGGTGAGTGCGCATTTCTTATATTTCCTACACGGTTTTGACGAGTGCCTCACTGGGAGTAACAAAGTCACCATTTCATCCATTTGTCATTTACCGGACATTGTTCCTATGGACTTCAGACTGTCTATTTGAGGGTGTGGCCAGTCTCTGATATAGCACATTTAATTTGTTTATTTAGCGCTGCACTTTTTCATATTGAACAAAATGATTACTGCTAGCAGCTATAGCCGCAGGCAGTAATAGTATGCAGAAGAATCTGACAGTCTGATTGTACCCAAGTCGATCCACAATGATTACTGCTAGCAGCTATAGCCGCAGGCAGTAATCGTATGCAGAAAAATCTGACAGGCTGATTTGTACCCAAGTCGATCCAATCAGCATGCCCATACATGGATAGAATCTCGGCCCGGTCGCTGCTGAACCTGCCCAATTGTGATCCATGTATGGCTGGCTTAGAGCAGATTCACAATGATTGTGTGAGAATTTTCTCCTGGTTCCCTTTTATTTATCTGCCATCAATACTGTGGTCCAGAGCACGAGGTCTTCTCGGATACTAACTGCTACCTTTAGCAACCAGATTCCAGCTGTCCTCTTTTTTGTTTTCTAGTGCATGTTAGGGAAGAAAGCAAGTATCTGATTGGCTGCTGTTGGCAACACCTCCATCTTTGTCTTCAGTAAGCAGGGCACACTTTGTTCTCTTTGGTTACCTGACCCATCATGACTTCATGCAAGTAATACAAAAAGGATTTATTTCTGTCGTTGTTCAAAACACTCAAATCAATACAAAGTAATTTTCTATTTTCTTCCCTGTGAATTTATATATTTGTGTCTCAAGTAGTCGCTATAATCATTATATTTAAAGCCCACTTGAAGTCTGATGTTCAAATGTCAGAGACTACATTCACCCGGGCGGCTAGGAGTGTATAGTTTGCTGTGTTCAGAGGCAGCGACATTCTGTGCTTGGCTGCATACATACTGGCAGTGGCATCCCTAGGCAGGTGCGAGGGGTGTGCGCTGCACCGGGTGACACCTACCGCACGGGGTGACATCGGACCCGCTCCATGAAAATGTAAGTTGTAAAGCAAGCCAAAGATCCCCGCAGGCTGGATCGGACTCCGATCCATTATGCTCCCCAATCCACAGATCCGATCCATCCTGCGGGGATCGTCGGCTTTCTTTACAACTTACCTTTTCGTGGAGCGGGTCTGGTGTCACCTCGTATAGGTTGCATGCCAACGATCCCCGCAGGATGGATCGGATCTGTGGATTGAGCATAATGGATCGGAGTCTGATCCATTATCCGCCTCAAATATAATCCATCCTGCGGGGATCGTCGGCTTTTTTTACAACTTACCTTTTCGTGGAGCGGGTCCGGTGTCGCCTCGTATGGGTTGCATGCCGACGATCCCCGCAGGATGGATTATATTTGAGGCGGATAATGGATCAGACTCCGATCCATTATGCTCAATCCACAGATCCGATCCATCCTGCGGGGATCGTTGGCATGCAACCTATACGAGGTGACACCAGACCCGCTCCACGAAAAGGTAAGTTGTAAAAAAAGCCGACGATCCCCGCAGGATGGATTATATTTGAGGCGGATAATGGATCAGACTCCGATCCATTATGCTCAATCCACAGATCCGATCCATCCTGCGGGGATCGTTGGCATGCAACCTATACGAGGTGACACCAGACCCGCTCCACGAAAAGGTAAGTTGTAAAGCAAGCCAACGATCCCCGCAGGATGCTCTCTTCACATGTAACTGCTCAGATGAGTGGCTACATGCGAGCGGTGGTGATGCCAGCCATTGGTTTGTACAGGATACAAATCTGACAGCTGCTGCTGGGCGTATACAGCGTGTGCAGTCAGCGTTCAGTACCTTTGGTGAGAAGAACTAGATTCTCAGCCAACCCCCCCATGCTCCCCTGTGAATGTCGCCTTATATACTCACCTCTTTGGCATCCCATATCTCCTTATCTCCCCTCTGTACCAGCGCTGCAGCCTCTGTCAGTCTTTCCATTATGTGAACAAAAGAAAAAAAAAAAACTGGCTTGTGCGCTGGCCAATATAGTACCAAAGGGACAGGAAACATCAAACCTAAAACATACAAAGAGAGAGAGTTTGGTCCAACTGACTTCCAGGAGTATCAGATGCTGGTGTTCCTCTGATTCTCTCATCTGACCCCCTACAGGACATAGGGATCAAGGGCGGAATCTTGCTGCATGATGAAGAAAAAACGGGCATCTGACACTCCAGGAAGTGTCAAATAACAGAATTAAAACATACAAAGAGAGAGAGCTTGGTCAGACTGACTTCCAGGGAGTACCAGTTGCTGGTGTTCCTCTGATTCTCTCATCTGAACCCTACGTCACTACAGGACATAGGGATCAGAGGGTGGAATCTTGCTGCATGACATAGAAAAAACAGGCATCTGACACTTCAGGAAGTGTCGAATAACGTAAATAAA